GGTTTTTTCTGTTTGTCATCTATCCATCTCTCTATTTTTGCCTCCATTTGTTCCGTAAAGGAATCATGATGTCCACAAGAATATGTATTTCTCTATATAAGAAATATGGAAATATTTATAATAAAAAGACACAGTATATACTATATGCTGTACCTATATGTAGAGATTGTGTGTGTATGTGTGTGTGTGTGTGAGAGTGGTGTGCGTATATATATATATATTTGTGTGTGTCTGTGTGTAATTAAGTAGAAACCCATAAAAATAAGATCAGAGAAAATATAGATGAACTGGAGTGTCAAAACCAGGGGGAGAATTAGAATACATATACTGCCACAGAGCTGTACACAGTTTACTATATTTGAAGCACAGATTTAGCTCTGAGCTAATGAGGGGTCAAAGCAAGAAAAATATATTTATGTGGTTCACATGGTCCATAAGGAAAAGGATACTGGACACTGAGTACTTTTCCTGGCATTTGGATCTGAAGATGGGCCTGGGTGGTCACCTACAGGACCCTGGGGAGCAAGGAAGACGTGTGAAGTGTGCTGCTGCGTGTGGCTCCTGCTCCCACGGTGGACGTCATTGACCCCCATGGGCCTAACCCACGGAGGCCGGGGTGCCTGCCGCCCTTTCGGCGTGGCGATCCAGACAGCCACTACCAGTGATTTGGAGCTGGCATGCAGGACAAAGCCCTCCTGCTGTTCCAGCCTTGGGTGGCGGTGGCATCAGGGAATCCGAGGGAATTCCAAGTGGAGAGCCCCCGTGGATCCTGACCAGCACCTCTGCAGGCATGGCATAGGTGGACCATTTTCCATAGGTTGGAGGTGTGTTTGCTTTAAAAGCCCTCAAGGTGCCGGTGGGAGTGAGCTGTCAGGGTGATGTGAGGGGTAGGTGTGTCTGGAGGGACCTGGGGGACACACTAGGAATTTCTGACTTGACTCATCATAGTTTCTCTTTTGTTCCAGTTATTTGGCACACACCTGTATTTGCCTAGAAGGTGCACCTGACCCACCCTCCTCACCGCCGCCCCCTCCCGTCCCCATTGAACGTCACTTCCTCAGGGACACCCTCCCAGCTCTGCCTGTACATCAGAGCTCAGAGTCGCACCCCTGCGCCTTTCCCTCCTAGCCCGTCTCACAGCTTGCGCTGATACATTTATTTATATTTGTTTCGTGGGTTTTTCCCCCTCTAAGACACGAGTTCCGAGGGGGCAGGGGGAGCATCCGCCTTGTTCATTCTTGTCTCCTCAGACCCAGCACAGGGCCCCACAGGCATTAGGCGCCCACTACATGACTGTGGAATGGGTGGGTGAAAGGACACGGGGCACAAAGGGAAGCAGATGCAAGCTTTGCCCGGTAGGAGATAAAGACATGAACGAATATGACGGAGGTGGCAGATGCTCAGCGCTGACAGGAGGGGACAAGGTGAGCTAAGGAGCTTGAGGAGAGGAGAGGCTCCCTCCAGAGGGAGGGGAGAGGAAGGCAGGTTTCGGAGTACAGCACCACCTGCTGGGTCTGAAAGCATGAGGAGGAGGGAAGGGGCATCTGGGGCCCTGGGGGCAGTGGGGGCAGCAGGCGGAGCCAGGGCAGAGAAGAGCCAGCGTGGCTTTGGGTGCTCTCGGGGCAGCGTCGGGGCAGGAGCAGCTACACCCGGAGATGGGTCTGAGCCAGCGGCTGGAGTTTTGCCCACAGCCTCCAATAGCGCAGCAGAGGGACGGGGAGGCAGCAGATCTGCGAAGGGAGCAGGCGTGGGATGAGGGCCTCAGGCAGGCAGGGAAGGCTGGGCAAGAGCTGGGAAAATGAGGTAGGCCCTAGGTTGGCCCAGCGGGGGTGCAGGCTGCACCGGGTGGATGCACAGCCTTTGCTCTCTGGTCGGACAGGGTTTACATCCTGCCTCTCTCATGCCTGTTGACCCTTGGGGCCACCCTCTAGCAGGCATTGGCCCCAAGACCCCAGACCAGCCCCAGCCATGCCTGCCACACCCCCTGCTGGCCTGGCTCAGCTCTCCAGAGAGGCTTTGTAGGGCTAGTTCACTGAAGAATACCGTTGCCAACACATTTCTAGGTTTAAAATAGAATATGTATTGATCACATTTGTAACATGTTATCTTGAGCACAGCTCCTTTTAATACTTTTATTTTCCAGATAAAGATTTATTTTCCTAATTCCCTCTTTGTGAGCTTCTTAAGGTGTTTTTTTTTTGTTTTCAGTCACTTATCTGGAGAACTGTTATTTCCTATTTATATTCATTATCAAATTACTCTGTTTCATGGATGAGTCATTCAGTTTATCCCTTTGGCTTCCTTCTTGTAAACCTTTCAGTGGATTTATTAAGCAGTTTGGCTCTTACTTTGATGTCCAAACCCATCTGGTGAGGTTTTAATTGGCAGGTGAGGAGATGCAGCAGCAATGGGCCCTGAGCTCAGGATTCCTGGGCCATAGCGTGACGCCGGATTGAGAGAGGCTAATGGAGGTGCACCCCCCCACACACACATTAGTGCCAAAGGTTCTTGAGTCAGTGTGCAAACTTCTTTGCTATGTTCCTTCTGTCTGCACTAGTCTGGAAGACGGGCAAACCCAGGTGCTCAGAAGTGGATGGTGGAGCCTAAATGTGGAACCTGGGAGAGGAGTCGGTGTCTGGGATGACCTGGGTGGGGGCAGCTTTGGATCACCCTGGGGGCATGAATAAGCCGGTGAGCATCCTGTAAGTCTGGGTGGATGCCCAGGGAGAAGCTTACATGTGGTGACAGCCAAGGGATGCTACCTTACCAGCCAGGGGCCGAGGAAGAAGCCCTCAGTGGACGGGCTCCCTCTGGGCACATCTGCTGCAGAGGAGCCAACGTAGGCCTGGGAATGAACACTGGGTGCTTCCAAGGAAAGCAGCTGCTGCCCTAGCATCTCTGAACTAGACTGCTGGAAGCGCTGGAGCAGGAAGCCCGCTTCCAGGGTGTTTCTGTTAAGACATCCAGCTCACTAAAGTTAGTATATGTGTGGTATGTGCATCCCCACTCCCTCTCGTTCCTGCAGAGGTGACTTACTCAGCACCCTTGATTGCAGGTGACAAAAACCCAACTCAGACTAGCTTAATCAGAAAGGGGACTCTGAACCTGGAAATGTGGGACCCAACATCGTGGCTCAGGCATGGCTGGGTCCAGCAGTCGGCAATGCGATCAGGGTTATTTATCCCCATTTCTCAGCGCTGCATGGCTGCATTCTCATGCTGTTTCTGAGTGGTGGTGACATGGCCATTGGCTGTCCCTGGCCAACACTTTCCTCACACTTGATCTCAGGGGCAGAGGGAAAGAGTGTATTTTTCAGCAACTCCAGTGAGAGCCCAGAGAGGACTCCGTGTGGCTGGGCCCAGGTCACATGCCCAGCCCTGAGCCAGTCGCGGTGCCCAAGGGGTGGTGGTGTTCTGATTGGTCCGTCTCAGGCACATTCACCCTGAGGAGAAGGAAGGGGTGTGGTCTCTCTCACCCAGAAGAATTGGGCATGATTTCCTTCACCCGAAGGAGGAATCAGTCTCAAAGAAAGGAATGATGGGCAGACAGAAATGGATGTCTGCTGCCAAGGGCCAGCTGAGGCCCTGGCAGCTCTAAGGCAGGTCTGCTTGGCAGTGTAGCAACATGCCCATGAGTCTCAGTTGCGTGGAGCATCTGACTCAGGCCTCTTTAGCCCTATGTTTGGTCTGTCATGGACCTTCAGACCGACTCCACTTCTCACGTCTCTTTAGCCTCCACAAACCTGGCTGCAGTGTCTGCACGTGGCCCCCGTCCCTCTGAGGTCCGGGCCTCTCTTCTTGACTCTTGTACTCAGCTCGAAGACGGGCTCAACTGTGGTGTCGCCTGCATTGTCCAGCCTGTGGTCCTGCCAGGGAAAGGGCAGAGTGACCAGGCGGACCTGGCAAGGGAGGTTCCTCTCCTCTGTTGCTTCTCCTGAACTCAGAGCGCACCCTTGGCATGAAGGGCCAGCTGGCTCCCAGCACACCTACTATGTGGCGGCTGCTTCCCACAAACTCGGAGGCAACTTAACATCACGTTCTCCTGTTTGACAGAACCGGCATCACACAGCAGCATTATTCAGTATTTTTAGCTACAGAGTTTTTTTTCAAATGAAGTCATCCCTGAAAGTCCAGTGCATGAAGCAAATAAGAGCTGGATTGCTCTGGGTTGGCTTGGAATACACCCACCGAGTCCCCCATTCCATGTCAGCAGCCCTGAAGTATGTGACACCCCCGAGGGCTCCTTAGAGCCTAGTTTGAGAACCTCTTCATGATGATGTGTATTCATCCCTTAGCTCAGTAGCACCTTTTTTCCTTCTGAGGGTTAAGTTGCTAGATGTGCTGTTTGTCTTACCATTGCAACATTTTTTCTGTCTTTAGCTTGTTCGCACAATGAAAAAGGGCAACAGGGAGATCCTGTGGCCTTCCTTTTCACACGAGGCAGGTGGCAGGTTGTAACATTCCCCAGCTACACAGGGGCTCGCTTCATTACCCTCCTTCTCTGAATCTATATGGAAGGCTGCTCTATTTACGGCATTGGTCAGATTACCCGTGCCTCAGTTTACCTTCTTCCTGCAGAGCCACACCCAAATGGGTGCCCCACCCTGGACAGTTGAAGCTTTGGGGAGTTACAAGATGCTGGCATCCCCATGTGTGACTGCTGCCTGGGATGAATATTTTGGGTACCTTTCCATGCAATCCACCCTTTCTAACAAAAAAAAAATCTTTGAAATTCATAAAAGTAACCAGACCCCAAAAAACCCCCCAAAAACAAATAACACCAAAAAGAATGCAAATGTTCCCAAAGGTCTCCTAATAGGCAGTGCCCTGCGTCTGTTAAGTTTTAGAAGACTGTGTCGTCAGGGGAATTGGTCACCAGCAAACTCGTCCTGAGCTGGCTTCAGCCAGCCTTCCATCCTCTGGGGAGAATCCAGGCCTTGGTTTGGCCCCAGCTCGGCCTTCCTGGTAGCTGCCACTTATTGACTCAAGTCTGAGTGATTCAGATCTTCATCAGGGTCACCAGACAACTGGTGGTAGGAGGGAGCGTGACCTGGTCTTCCTCCTGTCTGGGACGCCTGCACGGCCAGGCCTGGGTGAAATCCCCTCGGTTCCTGGTAGGTGTTTTGGGGTCTCCTGCGAGGGGACAGAAAGATGACTTTTGTATTTCCTGGAGCCAGGGGCCCAGTTCTACAGGGGCTTTCCCAGAACTTCGCTAACTGCGGGGAAGGGTGTGTGTCTGTGCCACCAGAGCCTCTGTTAATGATTGACGGGAGATTGGCTTTTCCAGGTTGCCCCAACTCCTGTGTTTCCAAGAAGAAGGCAGCAGGGATCTGAGTCCCCTTGCTCTCCTTGACAATTGCTGCACTTTCTGCGCCATTTTCCGAGGGACCCCATGAGCAGGGATTGATTTGGGGGTGGTGGAAAGAGAGGGTATGTGCTTTGGTAGAAAGCTGAGCAGCAGATGCACCCAGGGCCAGGAGGAGAATGGGCCGTGCAATAGGACTGAGCAAATTGGAACATTCAATTTGATAAATATTTTTATTGCATATCATGCTGTGTGTAGGCACTGGAGGAGGGCTCACATTTGGGGTCAACCAGGACAAGTCCCCAGATAACTAGCTGTGTGACAGGGCCAGAAAAACCAAGGGCCCCGAGGAGTCAAAAATAAAGTGCCCAGGCAGTGTTTCTCTCTGGGTGAGAAGATTTTAAGTATATTATATGTTAAAATTAAGTATACTATACAGATGAGCATTTAAGATACTGTAATTATTATTTACATGTGAATTAAAACATAACTTTGTTTTCTTCAGTTGCCTTCTGTTTATGACAAATGATATGGCTTTCTGTTTATGGTGGAGATATAAAGCTTCCTTTGAAAATAAATTTGAGTGAAATAGTGAGTTGACTTAAAGGAAAGTACTAAGACTGAATCAGGAGTCATGTGGGGGTGGCAGGTGGCACAGGAATGCCTTAGGGTTGAGGCCAGCGTGCTAGAGGAATTCAGAGCCGAAGAAAAGAAAGGACTCATGGGAGAGTCAGGTGGTGTGGGGGAGGAATAGGATCCAGCTAGGTGCAGATAGGAGAGGGTGAATGCCTACTCACAGGTCCAAAAGCATGTGTGCAAATCTTGGTATAATGTTTTGGTTACAACATACGAGTCCCATGTGAACTGGAGGGTAGGTTTGGACTATATTGTGGATGACTATGAATCCCAGGGCGGGGCTCTGAACTTAATTCAGGGGGCAGTGGGAGCCATGGAAGGTGCTTGAGGGGATTGGTTCATGACTTTTCTTGAAGAGGCTCATCTGTAGTGGATACCGGACTAGAAGCAGGCTGACCAGTCAGGGATCTAAGTAAAGAGAATTTAAAGGGCCAAACCAGGGCCATGGCCAAAGATGAGCTGCCCAGCTACCCAGCCTTCCCCGCTGGCTCTGGCCCACAGCCTAGAGGCATTGGAGAGAGGCAAGTCTGGGTTGGAGGTGCCAAGCCCTGGTCTCTGGGGAGACAGTGGGAGCCAAGCAGAGGTGCAGGTCAGAGGTTGTGCACAGAGACCTGGAAGGAGACTCTGTCTCTCCCACATGGTCCAAGTGGCCTGCTCCTGGGGTGTCTCCTGGCTGAGTGTGGAATGTTCTGGGGAAGTGGGTGGGGTCAGCTGAAGGAAGCTCCCCTCCTGGCCAGGGCTCCTGCAGGAGGAGGAAGCCAGTAGTTTCCTGTCCCACAGTTGGGCTCAGGCAGCCTGGCTGACAGCCCCAGGCTGAATTCATTCATCAGCAGAGCCTGCAGGCATCTGGGTCACAGATTTTTTGTTGTTACTTAACCCTTCCATCTCTCCCTTTCAGGGCAGAGCAGTTCAGCAGGAGTTCAGAGACCAGTTTAGTTTAAAAAAGAGTTTGTCTTTGTTTCCCCCCTTTGAGGGCCTTCGATGTGCCAGGCACTGTGTTGGCACTCACTCCATCATCAGAGTCCATCCTGGACAAACCTGCTGAGGAAGGCAGCACCTCCTTTGTGCAAAGAAGGAAATGGGGTGTAGGTAAGTTTAAGTAGTCCCAGATTACCCAGTCGGTTAACGGCAGAGCCTGATTCCAGACTCACACACTGGCTTGTCCGTAGAGCGGGAGGGTGGACCAGATCTGTGACTTGGGATAAGTCAGTCACTGTGCTCCCATCTGGGCGTGGGGCCACACCCTGCGGTGAGCTGGGCTGCATCTGTAGGATGGGGGTGCTGACAGCCCTGCTGTGGGGCTTTCATGAGTTACTGAATAGCTCAGGCTGTGTGTTAACTGCTGCTTCTGTTACTGTGTAGAACTAGAGTTTGTGCAATGCTAAACATCAGTTTTACTTGAAGACATTTTTGGAAGGTATCACTTAGGGTGGGGGAGAAGCATTGTTTTAAATTTAAAATAATTAATATATATGGCATAGGATAGGAAAATTTATTATCAGATATGTAGCCTTTTGGTAGGCTGTTTCCTGCTACACTCTGGATCCACGTGTTGGGGGATGTTGGGGAGAACCTGTGTACCCCTTCTTCTGCGATTAGCCTTACTGAGTTGAAAGCCTGAGAATCTAGGTGTACCTCACAGGCTCCCAGCAGGTCCCAGGCCTCTGATCTCCTCTGCCCTAAGTTGGTGCCTGGGAGCCTAGTGTCCTTGTTGCCTGTAACCTTTAACTAGCCATTCTCTGAGTTACTTTTCAGTTCTAACATTCAGAGAGGTCTCTTCCTTTCTGGCAACTCTATTAGAGTGATTCTCTTCCTGGAATGTCTACCTCATGTCTGCCAAGTCCCTACTTTTTCCTTTCCACCCTCTTCCAGACTCTTCTCTTTGAAGCCCTCTGGGATTGCTGCAGAGAGAAATCCTCCCTGCATCTGCTCTTTGTTCCCACAATTCTTCGTACAGTCCCAGCATTTATTAGAGCCATTGTCCGATTCTTTCAGGCTTCATACTGCTCATGTGCAATCTGCACTGGGTATTCACAAAACAGAGGTGGCCCCTCTCTCTGTGGACCTTACAGAGATGAACAAACAAAAAAATAAATGCATACATTCAAAAAGAGAGAGAGAGAGAGAAACACATTTACATTGTGATGCACGTGATAAAGAAAAAGAACTGGGTGCTAGTGTTTTCTGGCCTGGCAATCTTCTGCACTAGACTGTGTCCTCCAGATGGGTGATGGAGCAGGGACTGGTCGTGGAAAAAAGGCATGAACTTTATGAATGGGGATGGGGATGATGAGATTGAATTGTTAATCAACACAAAAACATTTTGAAGGGTGCAACACATGATAAAAATTTAATTTTAATGATATTAGTAGTGTTACATCATTCTTTCCCATTGATGGAGATTTTTTTCTCCGTAGAAGAACATTAAAAATTTTTCTCCCATTGCACTGGTAGCATTTGACTTCTTAAAAAAAGATTCAAATTTACAGAAAAACATTGAGTGGAACATGCAGAGAATTCCCATACACCCTCTTACCTTCTCCAATTTTCCATTATTAACATCTTGCCTTGATGTGGTTCATTTGGTACTATTAATGAGCCAATATTGATTCATTATTATTAACCGAAGTCTGTAGTTTACATTAGGGGTCACTCTTGTACATTCTATGGATTTCGACAAATGTATAATGACACCCATCTGCCATTACAGTGTCATATAGAATAATAAGTTCACTGCCCTAAAAATCTCCTGTATGCTCCCTGTTCATTCCTCCCTCTCTGCCCTTGAACCTCTGATCTTTTTACTGTCTCCATAGTTTTGCCTTTTTCAGAATGTCATTTAGTTGGAACCATACAGTTGGTAGCCATACAGATTGGCCTCTTTGACTTAGCACTTTCATTTAAGGTTCCTCTATGTCTTTTCATGGTTTGGTAGCTAATTTTTATTGCTGAATTTTATTCCATTGTCCGGAAATACCACAGGTTGTTTATCCATTCACCTACTAAAGGACATCCTGGCTGCTTCCAAGTTTTGGCAATAATGAATAAACTTTAGTGTTTCATTTTTTTGTGTGGATGTGTTTTGAATTCTTTGGGTGATCACCCCAGGAGTGTAACTGCTCTCTGATAGTGATGGTAGGAGGATATTTAGTTTTGTAAGATATTACCTTCCAAAGTAGCTGGACATTTTGCAGTGAATGAGTGAATGAGAAAGTTCCTGTTGCTCCACATCCTTGTTAGCATTTGGTATTGGCAGTATTCTGGATTTTGGCCATTCTAATAGGTGTGTAGAGATATCTATCTCATTATTATCTCAATTTGTGATTCCTTAGTGACATATGATGAGCATCTCTTTGTATGCTTGCCATCTGTATATCTTCTTCGGTGAGGTATCTGATCAGATCTTTTGCCCATTTTTTATACTGGATTGTTTTTTTTTATAGTGCTTTCCCCTTTAGAATCTTATCACTGTCTGACTTACCTGGAAGGACTATGAAAAAAGGCTGTGTGTGTGGGCAGGGCAGTGTGTGTGTTCTGGAGGTGATTGGCATGGGAAAAGGCCCAAACACACATAGTTTTGTTTAGTGTTGACAAGTCGGGATCCCTTGAGACTAAGAGCTTGAGCTTAGAGTTCAAATCCTAGGAATTTGCTGTGAAAAATAAAGGAGATGATTCTTTAAAGCATTGGACACCAACTTTGACGAACAGCAAATGCTCAGTAAATGGTGGTTCTTCTAATAGATAATGAATAGATATACCTTTCACTTCTCCTGTGTGACATTTTGTGTTTCCCTTCTGTCCTAGTCTTTGAGACCCCTGAGATCACTAGACTCCCACTTGTCCCTACAGTGCAGTGTTGGGGTGTGTGCACACAAAGAGGGCAGGCACCCATCTCTCGGCCAGCCTTCCCCAGCCTCCTCTCACTTGTCTTGCTGTGAGCCACAGACTGGTTCCACTTGCCTCTTGGTCACTTCCTCCTCCCACCATGTCCCCTGGCCTGCTGTTTCTGTAAGTCTGGCTACAAGTAGAGATGCCCCAGCTACTTGCACTATTACTTCTCTGAGGACAAACCCCAGGCCCGTTTTGTTGGAGGGAGTTCTGGCTGTTGGAGGGAGTGAGGAAAAGTTGGGTGGGAAAGTGACCAGGTTGACAGAGTCCTCCCAGCAGTGGCTGTAGTCTGGCTGGCTCCTGGCTCCCGTAGACACTGACCGTAAAGCTGGTTCCTCATGTGTCCTCACCAACAGGCCCTCGCCCCTCCTGGGAAGCCATGTGGCCTTTCCTTCATGCTGCATTCTCTTCCCAGCCTCTGCCCTGTCAAGAAATGACGTCCTCTGGACATTTCCCACAATGCAGAATGGAAGGCCAGGATACTGGCCACATTTGCTGTGGGCTGTTCAGAGACAGATCTGTGTCTCCTAAGGGTTTTTATATAGTGGCCAGACAAGGGCAGGACTGGCCACAGGCAGAGGGCGAATTCTGCAAAACCACGGCTCCTTCCTGTTGGGGCAGCCCCTGTTTAGTGGTTGTGATTGTGGTGGGGAGGGGAGATACATTATTCTACTGTGAACCAGCCCCCTAGGCTGTTGCAGGAGTCAAATGAAATAATGCATGTGAAATGCTTAGAACAGAACTCACACATATGCAGTGCTGAATAAGGATGTCAGCTGGTATCTCATCGTCCTCTCAGACGTGTTCCAGGGCACCCCTTACCCATCTCCCACCTTCCTGCCTCAGACTGCTGCATTTCCCTCAGGTGAGCTTAGGGGCTTCAGTGCATTCTGGAAGAGGGCAGTCCTCGACCCAATGGGGTGACCCACTGCTTAGTTTTCTACAGTAGAATTTCCCTGATGCCCCCTACCTGTGCCCTTCTGGGAACTGGGAATTCCAAGGCTAATTGTACTGAGGATGATGGTGATGATAATGGTGACATGGTGACGGCAGTGATAGTGATGGTGATGTGATGATGGCAGTGATGGTGATGACGATGTGGTGATGGCAGTGATGGTGATGACAGTGCTGGTGACACGGTGGCGGCAGTGATTGTGACATGCTGATGGCAGTGATGGTGATGGTGACAGTGGTGGTGATGGCAGTGATGGTGATGACAGTGCTGGTGACGTGGTGGCGGCAGTGATTGTGACATGCTGACGGCAGTGATGGTGATGGTGACAGTGGTGGTGATGGCAGTGATGGTAACGACAGTGAAGGTGACACTGTGGCAGCAGTGATGGTGATGGTGACAGTTGTGATGGTGGTGATGGTGATGACAGTGAAGGTGACATGGTAGCAGCAGTGATGGTGACATGGTGGCAGCAGTGATGGTGACAGTGATGGTGATGGCAACATGGTGACAGCAATGATGGTGACGAGAGTGATTATATGGTGGTGGCAGTGATGCTGACGATGACAGTGATGGTGACATGATGACAGTGATGGTGACAATGGTGATGGTGACATGGTGACAGCAGTGATGGTGACAGTGATGGTGATGGTGACATGGAGATGGCAGTGATGATGACAACAGTGATGGTGACATGGTGATGGCAGTGATGGTGACAAGAGTGATGGTGACATTGTGGCAACAGTGATGGTGACAGTGATGGTGACATGGTGATGACAGTGATGGTGATGGTGATGGCGACATGGTGATGACAGTGATGGTGACATGGTGATGACAGTGATGGTGATGGTGACATAGCAACAACAGTGATGGTGACATGGGGACAGCCGTGATGGTGACGGCAGTGATGGTGATGGTGGTGGTGATGACAGTGATGGCAACGTGGTGATGACAGTGATGGTGACATGGTGATGGCAGTGATGGTGATGGTGATGGCGACATGGTGGTGACAGTGATGGTGACATGGTGATGGCAGTGATGGTGATAGTGACATAGCAACAACAGTGATGGTGACATGGGGACAGCTGTGATGGTGACGGCAGTGATGGTGACAGTGATGGTGATACGGAGACAGTGGTGGTGAGGAGGAGGAGGAGGCTGGCAGCCCGGTGCTGACAGTGCTCAGTGTTACAGGTCCCATGCTGGGTGTGTTACCTGCACCATCGGAAGCATGGTTTCTTAAACTTGG